TAAATTGTTTTTTACCTTCTCCTGAAAAATTAATAAAAACGGAGCTACCTCCCTTTTTGCATCAGTGTCTTCAATTGTAAAATATTGTCTTACAACTTTTATATTAAACATTTCTTCATATCTCCAATAATAAAATATCTTTCGATCAATTACCCACTGATGGGGTACCCTGTATATGTATAATTAAAACACTGTATAAAATGAACCAAGCTTGGTCCATATGTTGAAAAATATTCTAGTGATAAATACAGTATTACTATGCCAGTCTAAAATTGAAATAAAATACAGGGTGTTCCATTTTAAAACATGTTTTTACTTTTCAGGCAAAAGCGTAACACCCTGTATATCAAAAAAAAAAAAAAATTCAAATCCACATAACTTTTATTCAAAAAATGTCGCCCCCTTTTTCAATAGTGCCATATCCCTAAAAAAAATTAAATTGACTTTTTTGTCCAACGTATACATTATGAATATGCCTACAATATATAAAAGTGCCATATCAATAGTTCTATAAATTCTGCGGGAGGCGCCATCAACAGTACTGCTATATCACATAACATTTTTTTGTTTTAGGCTATCTGTGTAAATTTCACATTACATTACATGTATCATTAATCAGTAGAGACATCTTTAATCAATATGTATACCGAATTTGGTAAGCACAAGTTCTGAAAATGCTGCTCAAAAAAATATTACATCCACAATCGTTTTTGTTTCGCTTCTGCTGTAAAATTAACATTTATAAGGTCATGGCACTATTGAAACAAGGGTGCGATGTGTCTATAATACAAATTGAAATATCAAGAAATTATGCACTAATGGCACAGCCTGTATAGACCTATGATGAGAGTTTACGTCTTTTTTCATCCTTTCAGACTTCCTTTTAAACTACTGTTGATTGTTTTCGACTCCCCGCCTTGAATGTTCCAGCCTTCTCTACAAGATTTTGACATGGTGGCTGCAGCTTCATTGGCTAATTATACCACCATTTGGATACCTTACTTCTTTTGATTTATTAATTCCTTATTATTGTACTCCCTAGATATGCATCCGAGAACTTATAAGTCTCGGGTCAACCATTCAACCGATAAATGAATTTATAGGTACAGTCTGTTCGCTATACTTACGCGGGTTTCGGATTAAAATTTTTATGAGTATTTCCAGGTAAGTACCCGAAAGTTTGACCTGTTCTTTGGGGAAATATCAACTGGTTAAATGAAATAACAATGAATGTACAACTTTTTAATTAAATAATAATCTAGTCTAATGTGGCTATTATAAACCTAATAATAATTTTATATTACACTTCACACATAAAATATGGTCTATGTATAATAAGAGGATTATCTAGCTCAAATAAAATATTTTCTAACATAAAAATTTGTTCCATGTAGAGAATTTCAAATTAAAAATAAAAAAATTGAACTTGCCAACAAAAATGAAAATCAGTCATTATCATCCAAAATATCATAATCGTCATCATCATCACTGTCATCGCCATTAATTGTTATTATGATTGGACGTATTTCGTTTATTTTATTTTCACGAGTCCACCAATCTTCTATTAGTTTCTCGCACTTGGATATACAGTTCTGTCACACTTCTGGAGTTGCAATTGAAAGTGCTTTTCGCCAAGTTTCCCGAACTGCGTCGTCACTATAACCATTAGGCCCAATATGGTTGTCATAATATTGTTTCGCTATTATATATTCGATGGAATTAAACTGGTAATGATACGGTGGCAAACGTAAAACTTGATGACCGTAACTTTCAATAATCTGATCCACAACAAAGGTTTTTGGTTTTGCGTGTATATTTGTCAAGAATTCGTTGTACTTTTGTTTAATACTTCAGAGTGGTAAGGTGCATTGTCTAAAATAATTACGCTGGGCTCACATAAACCTGGGAGAAGTTTTTTATGCAACCATTTTACAAACATTTCTGTGTTCATATTATCATGATAGTCACTGGATTTCGATTTAGATGAAAATATTAAATCAACACCTTCTATAAAACCCGATTTCCCTCCTGCATGTAAAATTATGTGCCGCTTCTCTTCTCCATCGGTATATTTGATGGACTTTACGTTATCATCTTGCCATAATCTCTTGGTTGTACCCCTAGAAAATATCCATGTTTCGTCTAAATATATAAAATTCGCCCCTTTTTCTTTAAATTTAGAATATTTTCTTAGAAAGTTAATTCTCTTGTGCACGACAGAACTTCTTCCACAAAGGGCCTTTCTGTTATCCTCCTTTTGAAATTTGAAACCCAAGTTATGTATCACTTGCCATAGGCTTGTTCTGCCAATGTCGTCAAATTTTCTATCTATTAATACCGAGAGAATTGTATTTAAGGTCACATGTTCCTTGTTGGCCCTCATTCGATAAATGGTATCACGAATTTCAAATTTCTTTCCATCTGGAATATCTTTCGTTTTAATCGTTTTCATTGATGGGCGAGTTTTGCGGTGATTTTCTTTCGGCAGTTCACTATTGTGATTTTGTAATACTCCTCTTAATTTGGTTTCACTAATTCCTAGAGCATCGCATACGCGATGTTGTACAGACATTACCCATTTTAAAGGACCGCCATTTTCTTTTTCATCCGTAAAATACTTATGTACACTACAAATTAGACTATCTACATCTAACACACGTCTAGGCATTTTTAAAATTTCCATTAAATTTACAATATACATACAATGTCAACACTTGCAATATTTGTAACAAATTTAGTACCTACCCTAATGTTATTTTAATTTAAATCTGACCATTAGGGCAATTTTACCTAATTTCTTGGGAAGAGGCTTATTGGAACTGGTTGTCAATGACTAATTTGCATAATTTTGTTAATCCGAAACCCGCGTAAGTATAGCGAACAAACTGTAGGAGTTTTGTACCAACATACAGTCTTTCATAAGATGCCATAAACTTGTATCAGAAGCGTTGTAGATAAGTTTTTGTTCATTTCTACATTATTTACTAATTTTGATTGTAACGTGATGGTCCTCTTGCTATAAAATACGTTTCTAATTGCTCCTTCTATAGTATCATTTAAATAATTAGTCTTTAACTTTGCTACAATGTGAGATTTAACTGGTTTGTTCCATTGACGCAAAAAATAGGGGGAAAAAGTTGTTACTAATCCTGTCATAATATTTTCTTTAAGAGCATTTTGGTCTCCAAACTAAAAAATAGTTATTTATGCAACAAGTGTGTATTGTTACTCCTTTTTGACGAATGTAAATGTCGCGACAATCTCATGAGTAAAAAAAGGGACTTTACAGACTTTACACACGAGTTGCATACAATATTTTTTTTATGTTATGTTGAGAATGGGGTGTTAATACACTGCGATCTAAAAGATCTATTGTGTCCCCTTGTGTCGTCAATGCACTAAGGAAATGTCTCAATGCCTATAACGACCTTTCCAATCCTATTTTTTCAAGGAAGTGTAGGATTTGAAGTGGCTTCAAGTTAGGTAAATCTCCCTCTTCTATTTGATATCCTCCTAGATATAGTGTCGTTGGATTCTGGAGTGCTACATATTCAGTTGTGAATGAAGGTTGCGTCCTACTCCTCACAGAATCTGCACTCACTATTCTCTACTACTCTCAGTTTACTTAGGTGTCTTTTTAGTCGGCAATGCCCGGTAAGGATTCCTGTTACAATACGTAGCCTGTTCTTGCTCAGGCAGATGCAGGCTTCCGATCTTTTCTGTTATATTCACCCAGAAGTATCTTGGCCTGTCTCAGCCCCAAGAGATTGTTCCAATTATTGGTTCTTCTACTGCCCAATTCTTTTTTAATCTCTCCTAATATTATGTTACTGCTGATACCGCAGAACGGCTCAGGTCCTACAAAGGGTGTTTGAACTCCTTTCCTTGCAAGACTATCTGCAATCTTGTTACCCTGTATCCCGTTATGTCCTGGGACCCAAGTGAGAATAACTTTATTTGTCTTGCCTAGCTCATTTAATTGTTCTAGGCATCTCCAGACCATTTTTGAGCTGATTACGTAAGAGCCCAGCGCTTTGATGGCTGTTTGTCTATCGGACATGATGATAATATCTTGTCTACGATAGTTTCTCTCGATGTTTAACTGGATACACTTCTCGATGGCGTGAATTTCCACCTGGAAGATGCTTGGGTATTTTCCCAAGCTTTCGGAGTGCTTGGTTCTTGGCCCATACACTCCTATTCCAGTTCCTTCTATAGTTTTGGAACCGTCCGTATACCACTGAATAGCACGTCTCCCGGTTGCAAGCGCGATGGATTCTTGGCTCCGTTCTTTCTTGCAGCCCAGCTTTGTGGTTTTGAAGTTTTTCACAAAACTGTACTTCTTTAGCATTTCATCCTGGGGCATGTCCCAGGTATCTTTAGTCCTGAAGCAAGTAGACTTTCGTATGATTACTCCGTTCCTGATCATCCTATTTTTTACTATCTTACATATTATCCACTAATATTAGAAATATAAAAGTTACTTTTTTTTCACTTTACGCACTAGTGAAAAAATATACAACTTTACGCACGGTAGTAGAAAACTTTTTGCATTTTCTGTCGAATATACTAACCTGTTGCATATGTTGCAGTTTTTGACCTTCCAATTAAAAGTTATTTGACTAGCTTTTGTGATTCAGGGTGTTGAATTCTTATAATTTTCAAAAATAATAGGACGTAAACGTTGTAAAGTTCGACCGAAAAGAATTTATAATGAGGTTTTTCTTAATTATTTTGAAAAGTGCCGTGGTAGGTTAACATTTTTTATTTTTCATCAATTTTAAAAAGTTATCACCTGTTAAACGTTGTCGGCCAAATATTATGATACTCTGTATATGCCATTGATCGTTTAAAAAATAATACCAAAAAGGGGAGTTTACCAAAAGTCATTGTGATCATCTACAATAGAGGATCATGGATGATCATCATATTTTCTTTACTTTTTATTTTGTATACAAATTATATTTCATTATTTTTTAGTACAAAATTAATTTTTTTAGCAACTGAGTGTCCCCTAGTAAAGTGCGTACCATGCGATAGCGGTTACTACAAATTTGATAAAAATGGATGTCAGACATGCGTATGTGATGTGGATCCATGTACGAAAATCACATGTAAAGACGATAAAATTTGTAAAGTACAAGACGTGCAGTGTATCCGAGCACCTTGTCCACCAATTGCAACATGCGTTTTCAACTGTCCACAGGTGCGATGCTCCAATCCTTGTACACACTTCAAACAAGATAAAAATGGCTGCATGACTTGTCAATGCGCCGATGATCCTTGTGAAACTCACCAATGCAAAGAAGGCCAAACTTGCAAAGTATTGGAAAGTTTTCCGCCTAAACCTATTTGTGTAGATTGTCCAAAAAAAAATTGCCTGGAACACTGCCAATTCTACAAATATGGTGAAGATGGTTGTCGTACTTGCGAATGTGACAATCCATGCATATATGCAAAATGCTCAAGAGGATTCAAATGTATTGCAGAGCAACCGCTTTGTAAGAAAGCACCATGTCCAGTTATAGCTAGATGTGTTCCTGATCCAAATCAATAATTTTTTTAAGAATATAATGTTATAATGTTTCAATTTTAAAAGTAATATAGTTTATTTTCAATGTAAATGTTTTTTTTTAAGTTGTCTTGACATTGGACATTTATGCCTTCTAAATAACAAAAGAATCATGAGATCCGACTAGATTTGCCATTAAAGTGATAAGCTAGGTCATAGGGAGTCTGTAGAGAGTACTATTTAAAATATGGAAATAAATGAACAACGCCTTTTGGGCTTATAATGGCAGAATGCGCATTCTATACATTGTAGGTAACTTTTACATCATAAGTGAGAAGTATAAGCTAATGAAAAGAGTCTTATGATTATGATATCTCAAAGAACATTTAGTCATTTTAACAAAAAATGTACCATAATCTAAAAAAGTGACATATATAAAGACCCGGTTTTTACAAATCGATTTTACACATTTATATATCAATTAAAACAAAAACAGGGGAGTTTACTAAGAGTCTCTTTTGTTTAAAATACCTATTGGATCAACGAGTAATTTTCAATAAGATTAGAATACCAATGTTTCTTTACATATCATTTTTTTCTATTATTTCTTTTAGTACACGTGTGTCCAGTTTATAGATGTAGAATTTGCGAAACTGGGTACAACAAATTCGATAAATATGGCTGTCAAACATGTGAATGCGATGTGGATCCATGTTCGAAAATAACATGTAAAGAATATGAACGTTGTCACTTAGTTAACGTACAATGTCTTCAAGCACCTTGTCCACCAATCCCAACATGCGTCTACAACTGCCCGCAAGTGCTTTGCGTCTCCGCATGCGCAAATCACGTATTCGACAAAAATGGTTGCATGACTTGTGAATGCGCAGACGATCCTTGCAAAACACACGAATGCCAACAAGGACAAACTTGCAAGTTGATAGAAACTTGCATCAACCCGCCTTGTCCACGTAAACCAATTTGTGTTGATTGTCCAAAAAGAAAGTGCCAATATTGCCAATTCTACAAATATGATGAAGATGGTTGTCAAACTTGCGAATGTGACAATCCATGCACGACTGTTTTATGTGCCAAAGATTCAAAATGTATTGCAGAGCAAGTGGTTTGTAAGAAAGCACCATGTCCAGTTAGGGCCAGATGTGTTCCTATTCCCAAACAATGATAATTTTTAAGAAACAAATGTTTTAATTTTAATAGTAATATAATTGCATTTTAAATATAAATGTTTTTTAATGATCTTCTGCCATTAGATAATATAATATATTTTGTCTTGTAGTTCAAGATCAGAGTATTTAATTCATGATTACTTACTGTATTCATATGTGGCTTCCAGATATCAATATTTACAAAGAAAAATATAAACAAAGTTATTGGAGTAGAAGAGAAGGTGGTAATATGGAAATCCAGTTTGTTTTCTTTCTATAAACCGAAAATTTGTATAACTATACATAAACATTTTGTACAACTAGGTTCTATAGATATTGGGTTTGCGTATATTTAAAAGAATTTAGAATTATAGCGATGTTTTACATGTTACCAATCAAAATCGGCCTTCGAGGAATTAGGCTGGTAATACGGATCCCCTTAAAAAAATAATCCCTTTATTTAAAAATGCATTATTAACATAAAAAATATTTAAAAACTGAAAAAACTGGTTACGATCGACAGAAGTCACAGATGTAGGCATCAGAACACTCGTTATGTGCCCATAAGTGGCACATTAGGCACTGAATCCACAACTCGTCTCGTACGTCTTTAGAAAACATCTGATCACAAAATATGCACACAGCGTCATTCTCTGCTGATGGAATTTCTGTAGGTGGAATGCTCATCATTGAAAAAACTGAAGAAATACTGCTAAGACCATTTTGATCAGAGTCGGACGATTCAGCAGGTTGTTTCTTTGATGTTTTACGGCAAATTCAAATATCTGTGCAGATTTTTGATCTCTTAAGCTCACGGTTGGAATTTTGGTGACTCCCGCGACCTTTTCTAGCAACAGTACCGCTCGCTCCCTAAACGAAAACTTGAGATCTTTTTTTGCCCATCAGATTTAGTAATTGATGTCTCCAATTCTGTTTTGTAAGGGGAGCTGGTTAAAACTGCAGCAGAAGAAGTTTTTTGTCCTCTGTTTGATAATTTTTTCTTCGGTTGTGGAACTGGTAAAATTTCTGCAGGTGAAACGAGGGTATGTAGCGTATTGGGTCTCACATCTGGAATTCAACTGTATCCTGCTTCTGTCAGATCAATTTCGCTGATCTGAAAGTTCTGGTTACCGGTTTAATGCTAATTTCTAGCTGCAGTTCGAGAGGAAACAGCGTTAGCTGCAACAGTATTTAAAGCCCGTTCACTGGAAGTCTCACTTAAGGCGTCGTGCTCAACAGCGATGAAGTCTGTCTCCGTGAAAACTCCTTTATTGCAAGGGCATATCCTTGTTCTCGAAAAACCATTTATTGCTATGCTTGCTGTTTGACAGTTTACATAGACTTTCCCAAAAAGTTTAGCAATATTATAAGGTCCCAGAGGACGTTCACTGTGATGCTGCCATATTCGAATTGCTTTACTGTAATGACTCTTCAATGGCCTCATAAAGGTTTTTAAAGGTTTTATCCAAGGGCTGCAGTCTATGTGTGGCGTGATGAGGAAGGCAGACTATGGTAATGTAGTTTTCTCTTGCCAGGTCTATAATTTCAAAATTTTTTACGTATGCGTGTAATGCCCGTCCAAAAGAAGTAATACTGAAGACTCTTCCGAAGGTATAGTATATTTTATAAAGCGCTTAAACCAGTCAATAAACAAGTTGATTTGTACCCAGCCCGAAGGATGACATCTACCCAAAGTTCCAGCAGGTACCCCACACATAATGATTTCAGTCATATTTTTCCGGGGAAAAATCATCATAGGGGCTATGAATGTACCCCCTGTGCTCATATAGCAAATAACGGTTACCAATGAACCTCTTTCAGCGGCTGTCAGCGCACATATTTGTCGTTTGCCTTTTAACCCTACGATCTGAGGTATTTTGCTTTGTACTATGGAAAAACCCGTCTTATCCTCAGATCATATTTTTTCCGGTCATATTCCATTTTAAGTATATAAAAAAATTACTGACAGATTCTTTATTGAAGCTGTTGGCTCTGGCGTAAGAAGTTCCAGTAGGCTTACGAATAGACAGTATATCTTTATGACGCAGTAAGAAATGGTCCAACCAAGCAAGAATATCCTCTGATTTGTCATCAAATGGCTAGCTGATAAGCCATTATTTTTAACGTCATGGCGAGTAAGTCCTCTCTATCAAAAGCAAATATTTCTCTAAATCATTTTCAATGTGTATTTGAAGGAATGATTTGCTACCTAGTTTTTTTTTCTACAACTTCCTCTGGTGTATATGCTTTTCATCGTGCATAAGTCGCTGGAGTGTTGTTTTCGGTACGTTAAACCTTTTCACAACTTTCTTGAGCCCAGTTATCTTAGCACGAACCAATTTAACAGCTTCAGTCATAGCATTCTTGTACCAGGTTTTCCTATTGGATTTGATTTTTGGTGATGGTAACCTACGAGGCATCCCAGCACCTGCAAATTAACACATCCTTAAATTTTGTTTTTAATATGGAACCCTTGTATATAATATGGAACCCTGTTCCATATAACAATCACCCTGGGGGTTCCATATTATCAAATCAAATCAAATTTTTGGTTTCTTGTCTACATCTAAACTGCCACTGTTGGATTTCTGTTTTGCCGGTATGTGCTACAGTTTCCTACACGCTTCATCTATGACTGACAATTTAAATTCAGCTATTTTAAAAGTAGATGTCACTACCGGTTCAGAAATTTCCATATTACCAGCAAGGTTCCATATTACCACCTTCTCCTCTACAATGGGATATGAAGAAGCAAATAATAATTCAGAATATCATAGATTAAACCACGTAGAACAACTTCACATTGCTGGCTCTGGTTTTTAAGAACCATTCCAGGTCATCTTTTGATTAGGTTTTGCAAAGTGTGTGGAAAATTTATTTATAAATACTTGAGCCATTTACTCCTTGAGACTGCCAATATAAAATGATTTACTTAAGTCTGTGTATGTAAAACTGTGGCCCTGCTACTCTCTAAGTCTGCCCATGTATAAATACTTTATATCTTAAGCCTGTCGACGTACAAATACTAATAATTGGGCTATTTGTAAAAATATTTGGTTTATTTATCCCTTAAGCCAGTCCTTATCAGGGGCTCATATACGGGAGGGGGTAATAAAGGTGATGAGGGTAGTTACCCCGTCCCAAGAATTCTTAAACCTAACTTTTTCTAGGTACTAAAAATATATTATCACAAATTAAGTCTTAAATATTATTACTACCCCCCAGACTTGGCCACTTTACCACTTACACCTATATTTACATGAACACATATTTGAGTCCCATAAGTAGGAACCTAAAATAGCAGAATTCAAATGTTAAACAAGAAGACGAACCATGGAAAATTCTTCAGTCGTATTAGGAAGATTAGATTTGAAAAACAGTCAAATAAAATGATATTTTAATTAGAGAAACAATGTCCAATTGCTCGTTTTTCATTGGACTAAATAATAAGCATTACAATTGTAAAATAAAATAAAATGAATACCATTATGTACAGCAATTACACTGTGAAATATATTACACAGAGTATATAGATACTACTTCTTAAAGCAGGTACTTCATAGATAAAAGCATTAATAGTGGGATAGGAAGTCAAGCCCTCTGAATTAAAAGTTTGTCACGCTCCTGGAAAATGTTCTACATTTCAGGACTTGTTTGGCGGCTTATCCAACAAACTGCCTATTTAGTCCTGAAAAGTATCATTTTCGAATTTGCAATATAAATAACTATGTATTATTTATATTTTTTATTATTTATTTTAGTCGTTTTATCACTTTTTCTTACTAACTTCTTTTCCTTAGTTTGATTTATTGTCTCTTTTTATAAGAATTTCGACAATCGGTGATTAAAAAGTTTTTCAATTTTTTGTACGATTTTCAG